GCCCTTCCCCCTTTCCTTTTTTTCCTCTCCTCCTCCTCACCCCATCTCTCTCTCTCTTTTTAAGAAGAGGAAGAAGAAAAAGGTAAAGATACAAATTATGAACAACAAATATGCATCTATCAACAAGTGAATCTAAGAATCAAGTTAAGAAATCTGATGATCAGAATGTACTGGTGATTATAATAGAATCAGGGACATAGAAAGGGAATGGACTGACTGTTCTTGTGGGGGAAAGGGGTGTGGGAGATGCGGGAAGAGACTGGACAAAAATCGTGCACCTATGGATGAGGACAGTGGGTGAGGAGTGAGGGCAGAGGGTGGGGCGGGAACTGGGAGGAGGGGAGTTATAGCGGGGGGGGGGGAAGAGGAACAAATGTAATAATCTGAACAATAAAGATTTAATAAAAAAAATAGATATTCATGTGTGGGGTAGGTATTGTGAATGGGGAAAGAGAAAATAGTCTCCAGAGGCCACAACTGTTTTCTTTCTTCTGCTAGAAGTACACTTATGTGAATAGACTTTCAAAATGTCACTGCGTAAGTGTGTATTAGGAAATCATACCCAGAACTCTTTTCTTACTTCACAAATCAGTCCTATATTTTTCCAAAATACTAGTCTGAAACCCTTTGACTACTGATGATGTGGGTACTTTATAAGTATCTTCTTTAGGCTTTTGTGATTGATACCTTTTTGTTTTTCTTTTTTCAGTGTACTTCCACAGGTGTGCCAGCTCATATGCAAAGCAGATCTATGTTACGACCACTGGAGCTGTCCTTACCAAATCAAAGTTCATATTCTGAAAACGAAATTTTAAAGAAAGAGTTAGAAACAATGAGAACTTTCTGTGAATCAGCAAAACAGGACCGACTCAAGCTCCAAAATGAACTGGCTCACAAGGTGGCTGAGTGCAAAGCATTAGCATTAGAATGTGAAAGGGTCAAGGAGGACTCAGATGAACAGATAAAGCAATTAGAAGATGCATTAAAAGATGTGCAGAAGAGAATGTATGAGTCAGAAGGGAAAGTTAAACAAATGCAGACTCATTTTCTTGCCCTTAAAGAGCATCTTACAAGTGAAGCAGCTTCAGGGAATCACAGACTAATGGAGGAACTGAAGGATCAGTTGAAAGACATGAAAGCAAAGTATGAAGGTGCTTCAGCAGAAGTGGGAAAATTAAGAAACCAAATCAAACAAAATGAGATGTTAGTAGAAGAGTTTAAGCGGGATGAAGGCAAGCTGGTAGAAGAAAATAAGCGACTTCAGAAGGAATTCAGTATGTGTGAAATGGAGCGAGAGAAGAAAGGGAGAAGGGTCACAGAAATGGAAGGCCAGTTAAAAGAATTGTTAGCAAAGTTGGCCCTTTCCATTCCAAAAGAAAAATTTGAAAACATGAAGAGCTTATTATCGAATGAAGTAAATGAGAAGGCAAAAAAATTAGTTGATATGGAAAGAGAATATGAAAAATCTCTTAGTGAAATTAAACAGTTAAAGCGAGAGCTTGAGAATTTTAAGGCTAAGATTTCTCAGCATGTCAAACCAGAGGAACATGAGCAGCTCAAGAGCAGATTAGAACAAAAGTCAGGAGAACTTGGAAAGAAGGTCACTGAGTTAATATCCAAAAATCAGACCTTACAAAAGGAAATCGAAAAGGCTAATCTGGATAATAAGCTCCTCAACCAGCAAGTACATAACTTAACAATTGAAATGAAAAATCATTACATTCCTTTAAAAGTAAGTGAAGAAATGAAAAAGTCACATGATGTAATTATTGGTGATTTGAATAAAAAGCTTTTAGATGTAACAGAAAAATACACAGAAAAGAAGTTGGAAATGGAGAAATTGCTGATGGAAAATGACAATTTAAATAAAAATGTTAACCGCCTGGAAACTGTGTTCATACCTCCTGAGAAACATGAAAAAGAGATGATGACGCTGAAGTCCAATATAGTTGAACTTAAAAAACAGCTCTCTGAACTTAATAAGAAATGTGGTGAAGACCAAGAGAAAGTATATTCACTCATGTCTGAAAACACCAACTTGAAAAAGACTATGAGTAATCAGTATGTACCAGTTAAAACCCACGAAGAGATTAAAACTGCACTAAGTAGTACATTAGATAAAACTAACAGAGAATTGTTAGATGTGAAGAAAAAATTTGAACATGTAAATAAAGAACTTGTGAAAATAAAAGATGAGAATGAAATATTAAGAAGAAACCTGGAAAATACTCAGAACCAAATGAAAGCTGAGTACATCAGCCTAAGAGAGCATGAGGAAAAGGTGAGTGCTGTCAGTAAGAGCATGAGAAATGTACAGGAGAATAGTGCAGAAATACTGGCCAACTACAAGAAAGGCCAAGAAGAGATTGTGACACTGCATGCTGAAATTGAAGCCCAGAAAAAGGAACTTGACACGATACAAGAATGCATTAAAGTAAAATATGCTCCAATTGCCAGCTTTGAAGAGTGTGAGAAAAAATTTAAGACAATAGAGAAAGAACTAAAAGAACAGTTATCAGAGCAGACACAAAAGTATAATGTCAGGGACGAAGAGACCAAGAAGTGCAAACAAGAGAATGACAAGTTAAAGGAGGAGATTTTCACTCTTCAGAAGGATTTAAGGGACAAGAATGCTCTCATAGAGAATTCTCATGAAATGGAAAGAGCATTAAACAGAAAAACAGAAGAGCTGAACAGACAGTTAAAAGACCTGTTACAGAAATACACGGAGGTAAAGAATGAGAAGGAGAAGCTAGTAGAAGAAAATGCCAAACAGACTTCTGACATCCTTTCAGCACAGACACTTTTCCAAAAGCAGTATGTCCCATCGGAACAGGCAGAGGCCCTGGAAAAATCTCTTAATGGCACAATTGAGACTCTAAGGGAAGAATTGAAGAATAAGCAAAGGTGTTATGAGGAGGAGCAGCAGACAGTGACCAAGCTGCATCAGTTGCTGGAAAACCAAAAGAACTCTTCTGTGTCCCTGGCAAAGCATTTGCAGATGAAGGAAGCATTTGAGAAAGAGGTGGGAATTATAAAAGCTACCTTGCGAGCCAAGGAAGAAGAAAACCGAAACAAAACTGAAGAAATCTCCAAACTTCAGTCAGAGGTTCAGAATAGTAAACAAGCATTAAAAAAATTAGAGACAAGAGAGGTAGTTGATATGTCTAAATATAAAGCAACAAAAAGTGATTTGGAGACACAGATTTCCAACTTAAATGAAAAGTTGGCCAATCTGAATAAAAAGTATGAAGAAGTGTGTGAGGAGGTTTTGCATGCCAAAAAGAAGGGACTGTCTGCAAAAGGTGATAAAGAATTACTACATTTTAGCATTGAGCAAGAAATCAAGGATCAGCAGGAGCGATGCGATAAGTCCTTATCAACAATCACAGAGTTGCAGACAAGAATACAGGAATCTGCTAAACAAATTGAAGCAAAAGATAATAAGGTAGGCCCTGAGCCATCTTCGTGGCTTTGCATTGGAAACCCCAGAGCAGAACAGAGCAGTATTTTAGCATCCTACGGACAGGTTTACAAAAGCATAGTGGCCATTAAATGCTACCTTTCTGTTTGACTACTGATGAGCGAAAAATTTCAGAATTGGAAAAAAAATAGTATAGTCACACAAAAATGAAAAGCATTTTGTTTCCTCAGCTGGTACAGCCAAGAATTGAGGAAATATGGGGAGATTCAAGGTTTACGTACCTCATAATGAATCCAGTGGGTTTGGGGTACTTGAAGAATGGTGAAGAGGGGAGGGAAAAAGCTATGTTTCTGGCCTGCAAGAAACCAAGGATGCTAGGGAACACCCCAAACTTAATCTTGGCACTCACCCATATCAGCACGCCAAACTCTCCAGTTGGCTGTACATTCTGTCCCCATATCTTTCTACAGACTGGTTACCTTGCCCAGAATGTGCTGCCCTCCTTTGTACTGAGTCAAATTCTGTTAATTTCTTAATCCTCATGTCGGGGCTTGTCCTCTTTCCCAAATCCTTCCCTGTCAAATCTAGTCCACAGTAAACTCTTCCTCTTCAAAAATACATGTTTTGTTTTGGCTTTGCCATCCTCTTAAAACATATATGTTACAATGTCAGAATTATGTGGTTGATCTTGCCAACCAGTTTTTAGGAGAAAAACTAATTTACCTTTTCTTATCATTCATTCTCATGTTATAATTTGCATGATAGGTGCTCAACAATATTTCCAGAACTGAGAGTTACATGAAGTATTTACTATGAAGATGAGAAATCAGGGACACTGAGTGCAGTTTTATCAGCTCAACAAATAATTGTTAAATGCCTTCTGCATGCCAGGTGCTATGTTCAGTGCTGGGGACACAGCAATGAGTGAAAGCAGACACAGCCCCAGCCCTCCTCAGTGTAGAGATATAGGTACTGACACCTCTGCTCAGATGATCCAGACTTTAAATGGTTAATGGAAGGTAGTTGTATATATAATTATATATCATTATAATAGCAAGTTATTAATATCTAGTTATAATTGCTGCCATTAATTGAGCATTTACTGTGTAACAGGCATATCTTTATGATAGCATTTGATTTTTTTAACTATGAAAAATTTTCCCTCTTTCACTGTTAATGAAATTAAGGTTTAGAAAAAGAAAGGAAATGAGCCGAGCTCACACAGCTAATGAACATCAGATCGAATTTAAAGGCTTAAGGCCTATGCTCTTCCCACTGTTCAAACAGCCTCCCTGTTTTCTCCCTCTTCAAGACAAAGTCTGAAACCATATGTTCTTGAAAGGAACAGGACACATAAGTTAATGTTAGATATACATGAGCCACTATTTTTTCTTTTACTTTTCAACTTTGTTGGAAAGAATCTCCTCTACCTTTCTATATTTCAAATGACCTGGAATATAGTCTCTCTAACTTTATAGGTACTTGTGTGTTATCTAAAAATAAGACTGGGGTTACACTCAAATCTTAGGATATACCCATATTCATTCTTAATTTTGTAATGCTTTTGTAAGGAATTCCTGAGAGAAATATAATTGTATATACTGTGTAAATAATATTGTATATACTGTGTAAAAATGTTCATTGTAAATGAGTAATACATGTTTTCCCACAACTTCTTTCTTTTTTTATAAGATAACTGAGCTGCTTAATGATGTAGAAAGACTAAAACAGGCACTGAATGGCCTTTCACAGCTCACCTATACGAGTGGGAGTCCCAGCAAGAGACAGAGCCAGCTGATTGACACTCTGCAGCACCAAGTGCGGTCCCTGCAGCAGCAGCTGACTGTAAGTACCCCAGGCCTGCAGGGCTTCATGCTGCTGTATGCAGGGTCACGTTAGCTTGTCTGTTTATAAAAGCTTATTTAGAAATCAGATTGATTTGTGGCTGTGTTCAGACCAAGAAGGTAATCTTTTTTGCTAAAAGTTACTTTCACTAGAGGTATAATATACCTTATTTAGTGCCTACAACATGCCAGGCACTATATTACATATTTTACATACTTTAAACTTTATCTTCATCAAAATCTTTAAAGTTTTATTCCCCCATTTAACATCCTTATTAAGGAAACAAAGATGAAAATACTCAATGCCTGGGGTCATACAGCTAGGCTTTAATCCTGAGATTCGCTGACTCCAAATCTGGTAACTGCAGCACACTCTCTAAAGTAATGGTCCACTAAATTAAAGGGAGTTTTTAAATAATCTTCTCTTTATGAGCAAAGATAGACATTCCTGTGGTTTTATGCTCTATATCATTATATATTAAAATAAAATATCTGGATATGTATATCCATATAGGTACCTATATCCTTATAAATACCTACATGAATATTTATATCTCCTTAATATATTAAAGGAAATGTCTGGATTTAAAAGCTGAAGATGGGAGCTCAGTTCTAAGCCCTGCCATTTAAAAGCAAGTGACATGAGCCCTAGCTGATTTGGCTCAGTGGATAGAGTGTTGGCCTGCGGACTGAAGGGTCCTGGGTTCGATTCCAGTCAAGGGCACATGCCGGGGTTGCAGGCTTGATCCCCAATGTGGGGTATATAGGAGGCAGCCAATCAATGATTCTCATCATTGATGTTTCTATCTCTCCATCTTCCTTCCTCTCTGAAATCAATAAAAATATATTTTAAAATATAATAATAAAAGCAAGTGACATGAAACATTTCCCTTAACACTTGGCTTCTTCATCCATAATTGGATTATTAAAAACTGATTACTTGTTTGTTTGCTTTTTAATTGAACGAGCTAATATAATATGCATGGAAATGCTAAGTAAAACATAGCGTAATCAAATGTGAATCGTTTCTAATATTTTCCTATTCTATAGGTATTTGTTATGAATTGTTTTTGAATAGAAGAAAGTTGTGTGTTTTTTTTTAAGTTTCCATTTTTATAACACTATTGGCCTATAGCAGTTTGTCAGAATTGCTTATTTGGATCTTATCAAAGGGATATGGTAGTCTCTTGAGTAATTGGAAGTCTTTATTATTAATTAGAAGCCCAGCGTGCGAAATCACACAGCCCCGCCCACTTGCGGCCTCACCGCGCACACGCAGCCCTGCCCACCCGTGCTGGTCTTTGGTCATTACGGCATTAGGGCCACAGGCCTTTTATAATATAGATTATGTTCATTACACCGTGCTAAACTCTGCCAGGGACAAAGAAAGCATATAGTTCTTGTCCCGAGGAGTTATGGGTAGTTATGAGGCAAAATATAGATCCAACAAAAGTAAAATAACATGGCAAAAATACCAAATATAGAATTGTGAATACAGTCCCACATTCTAAGTGATAATTAAGTCCCAGGAAGGAAAGATTACTGGTATGGTAGGAGCTAATTTAAAAAAGGAAAGGACTAACTGGCCTGAACTTGTAAGGTAGGTGGTGTTTGAGAAGAAAACACAATCTTCCAGGCAAAGGCAATAGTGTGAAGCAGCCATGGAGGTGGAATGCAATTGGCATGCCCCAGGCAGTGCAAGGCCCATCAGCCTGGCTAGTATCAGGAGCTATCTTTACAGCCAAATTGTGGAGACTATTGAGAACCAAGGTGATGAATTTGGATTCTCTCTTGTATGTACTGAGGTGACACCCAAGATTTTTAAGCCAAAAGGATATGAGGAAAGAGCTGTCTCTGCCTTCAAAGCTTGATAGGGAGTCAGATTTAGAGATGGGGACAAGATGAGAAGCTTTTGCAGTCATCTCAAGTGTAAGTTGATAAGTGTCTGGATTATTTTGTGACATTAGTTGTCACCTAAGAAAATCATTTCATGTGACCTAGGATAAGTAGAATTGCTTTCACTATCAATATTCCCACACATTCATGAGAAAAATTCATACTATTGTTATGCTGTGAAATTTGCATGTGGTCGGTCCAAGGTGGTTTGTTACAAAAACCATCAGGAGTATTATAATAATATTGCTGTTTTGTAGCCTCAAGCCCAAAGACAGCAGTATCATAAGCCTCATGTGTTTGAAAACATGAATGCTGACATTCTGCTCTACCCTTCTTCCCACATTTCTAGGATGCCCACAGACAGCACCAAGAAGTAATTGCAATTTATCGGACACACCTTCTTAGTGCCGCACAGGTAAAGAACGGTTTCTCCTTTGGAAAGGATATTATTTTAGAGAAAATAAATTTTTCATGTTCAAGTAAATTTATGTGAAAATCATGTTTAAAGTAATTGAACCCCATATGCTTATTTAAAAACAATTGTGCTTCTTTTAATCATGGCTTGCATATCTCCCAGAGAAATTTACAAAGCTACATGGCAACACACCATCTTAAACTTAATGTTATCTCCATCTGCTTGTCACTCATTTTATAGACAGTTTGGCAACATATGATGGCAGCACACATTGATGCTACTGCTAGCTGAGATGATGCCTTGACAGCCACACATGGCTGTCATTGAAAAAGGAGAGTAGAAAAGATGTCATTGTTTCTTGGTAGATTAGGAGTATTTCTTTGAAATGTAAAGAACACTATAAAAGTATAAAAATGACAAGTAAGGTGTGCACAGAACTGTAATAATTTAAGGGAAAAAGTTGGTTCTTTTAGAAGATTATCAATAATATTTACTTATTGAGCCTTAAACTCAGTCAAGTATAAGATTAAGAATTTCCTTCTTTGCCCTAACCAGTTTGGCTCAGCGGATAGAACGTGGGCCTGTGGACTGAAAGGTCCCAGGTTCTATTCTGCTCAAGGGCATGTACCTTGGTTGCAGGCACATCCCCAGTAGGGGGTGTGCAGGAGGCAGCTGATGGATGTTTCTCTCTCATCGATGTTTCTAACTCTCTATTCCTCTCCCTTCCTCTCTGTAAAAAATCAACAAAATAAAATAATAAAATAAAATAGAATGCCCTTCTTTAGATGTGTAATGAGAAAGCTGTTGTTGGTGTTTTTTTTTTAAATAAATCACACCAAGAAAATGTTTAATATATGAAGGATGTTATGTTTAATGTTCTGCAGAAACCTTATGATCAGCATCTCCAAAGTTCTCAGAATAGATTTTTCAGGAAGATGTCCTAAAGGAGACAGTATTAGAATAGCAAGTGAGATATAAGAGGATTGTTTACGATTTGAAGTGTGTCAGGCTGCATGGTTAAAAGAAAAAGCATAGCTTGTTGAGAGAAAACTTCAAAGAAAGGCCTTCTTTTTTTAAAAAAAAAAAAAAAGAACTAGGTAAAATAATCAAAAGGAAGAAACTATGATATCAGATTCTTAATATAAAAAAGCTGGCCTGTTCTATAAGAGATGAATAGGAAACCAACGGAAAAGAATGAATCGGTATGATGAAAGAAAATATCTTGGGCTACTTTTTTTTTGAGTAGGTAAAAGATAGGCCGGGATTGGGAAGTATATTGCAGTTATTAGAGAACACTGTTGAGTGGCCATGAATGGGAAGTTTAGGAGGGGAAATAGTAGAAGAGTATAGGTCTGAATTAGAGAGGGTGAGGAACTCACTCAGCTCTGATATTGGCCAACGGAGGAAGAGTGTGCTTTCCCAAATGACACTGTAAACTAACAAACTTTTCAACTTTGAATGTATGCTTCTGAAATTATTTTCTACTGACTCCTAATTAAACATAACAAAAGCAGTTGGCAACTGAAATAGTCTTGCCGTCTGGCATCATAAAGTTAACTAAGAAATTCAGTTTAGTCAACTATGGATAATGTTTGAAATTTAAACATCCTGCTGTTATAGAAACAAATTTCAGAAAGAAATTTTTTTGTATAAATAGGAAGCGTTATGCTGAAACCTATTCAAGTTCTCCAGCAAAGAAAAAGAAGGGGGAGCTGTAATAAGCTCACCACATTGACTTGCATTTATTCAACCCTCTTGCCCTCTTTTTAAGTTTAAAGTGTTTCTTTTTAAATATGAATGGCTAATGTTTGTGTATAAAGATCTCAACCTCACCAGTAATGGGGAAAATGCAAATAGCAAGAAGGTATCATTTTTCACTTATGGGATTGGCAGATATTAACTAAGATGGTGGACTGTAACATTGGTCTGGGTGTTGTGGGAAATGGGCATTTATACCCTGTTGGTAGGAGTGTAAATTGTTATAATCTCTATAGAAGAAAATTTTATAGTACTTAGCAAAATTGAAAATTGAGCTTGCTTTTTGACCCATCAGTTTGTCTTCTAGGAATCTGCTAAGATTGGAAACACCTTTAAGTGCCCATTATTGGGGGAATGGGTAAAGAAATTATGATTCATCCACGCAGTTGGATATCCTATATAATAAAAGAGAAACATGTAAATTGACCATCCCTCTGCTACGTTCATCAGCCAATCAGGAGTGAGTATGCAAATTAACCTGCCAGCTTTCTCAGGTTGATTTGTATACACAGGTGCCAGGCGGAGAGCAGAGAGGGAGAGCTTGGCAGAGTGGGAGGCCATGGGACGGAGACAGAGCAGGAAGGGAAAACCAAGGTCACGGGGAGCACCAGGAATTCTGGTAATAGTAGTTTTGGTGGCAGATGGTGTGAGCCTGGAGCATGTTACTGTTGCAGTGGGGAATGGAGGGAAAGCAAAGGTGAGAGACATAAGTAAAATCAGAGTGTCTAGGAAAAATTAAAGGGAAGATATCCTAAAACTTCCAGGAAATCTCCACCAATGAAGCAAAGAAAAAAAAAATGCCTCTATTATTCTGTGAGCAACAAACCAAACTGAGTTGGGGTCTCAGACAATTCGTTCATATGATTGCAAAGACAGACAGAAATTCCCGGATTGGAGAGGGCTCCCCTGAGGGCTCCCAGATTGGAGATGGTGCAGGTCAGGCTGAGAGACCCCCACACCCCCCAGTGCACGAACGTCGTGCACCGGGCCTCTAGTTATATATTTTTAAATAGTTAGGCATATAACTTAGGATAGATTTCTATGACACTAGGTGAAAAGGCAAGTTGAAAAATTATATGTATGATTTTATTTACATAAAATTTGGGGATTTTTCATTAATTCTCTCGTTTAAAAAAAAACCTCTCAACAGGAGCAAAAATAAAAATTTCCTTGTAGTTTACTTTGCTCATTTAAAACTCATGCTGTCCCTTATTATCCGAGCTGTTATAGGAGAGATGTGTGCCCATCTGTTTTCTAATAATAGATGTTAAGAGCAACTGGTGAGCACTACGGTTTTTTAAAATATTATTATTATTTCAATCTTCACTTGAGTACATGCTTAGAGAGAAAAAGGAAGAGAGAGAAGGGGTGTAGGGGAGAGAGAAACATCAGTTGGCTGCCTTTTGTAAGTGATTCCACCCAGGTATGTGCCCTTTCAGTGCACAGGATGACACTCAACTAACTGAGCCACTCCGGCTGGGCGGTGAGCACTACTTTTAAATTGAGTTTTAAAAATTCCAATGTATTTTCCAATAAATCCTTTAGGCTATAACCAAGGTAGTGAGGATTTGGCCTTTGTCTTTAGTAAGAATTATTGTGTAAATGAAGATGACATAAAATATTTCTCTTCTTTCTTCTTTGTCTCAAGGGTCACATGGATGAAGATGTGCAGGCGGCCTTACTCCAGATTATACAGATGCGGCAGGGGCTTGTATGCTAGTAGTCGGTGCTGGCCCGCCAGTGTCTGCTTCGCCAGCTGGTGCTGAACATTCTGTTGCAATTGCATGGCCTTTCTGGGCCTTCCTGTTCTAGTATAAATGAAATAAAATGTATTTTTTTTTCCATCAGTAGGTTTTAAAAAATTAGATGAATATGTTACTGAGTTTTTCAGTATCAATTCAAATCTTATATTCCATATATATTAATTTCACAGTTAGGCAAACAGCATAACACTTTGCCTTGGACTGGCCACACACTTTTAAACTGTGGAGTCCCTAATAACACATGAGCCATCTGAATGGGTTGAAGAGGGGTTAGGCTGAAAAATTGTTTAAAGATTTCTCTCAGAGAAATTGATTTGGTCACTTTAAATTGATCAAAAGATCTTTCAGATCTTTGGTCTGAGCCATGAGACCTAATGCAGTTTCAAGGAATGCATTATAACTTGGCTGGCCAAGTTGTGTTTTTTATTGAAGTAACTTAATGATTGCCTTTGACTTCTTTTGGAGGTACAATTTTTTCTTCTTCTTTACACTAGTAACTTTTATGCCTTTTAAAATAATTTTCTTTCATGCTGGTTTGCAGTGCTGAATTACATTTAGATTAAGAACAGTCCAGGATGGACTATATTAGGAATTTATAATAAAATTGCCTCATAATTTCCACAACAGTATCTTAATTTTCATTGTGATGACTTTTCTTCCTTCAGTATTTAGAGAAGTATAAGTGCTATGCTAGATTTTTCAGTGTCGAAAAATTTAGACTTTTTTATTTTCTTTGACATTTGCTACTATAGTAACCAAGCACTCATTATACATGCATCCTCCAAATGTTTGTACTTATTTATAGGAAAATTGCACTAATGAGGCTAATAATGTGAAATGCAGCTTTCTTGCAAAATTAGCATGAGAGAATTGGTTTTAGAAAACAGGTCTTTAAGATTTTAGACAAAAATGCAATAATATAGTAAACTTTAAGAATATAGATAGTGAGAAAATAATAAAATTGGACATGTTTATAGTAAATAGTCTGTTGTAGCCAACCATTTTTATTAACTACATCTCATTAGAGAGTTTATATGTTTATATGTTTTATTATTTTTATTAATTTTATAATTGAAATTGAAAATTACTAATTTGACTGTTAGCAAATAAACTGAACAAATTATTTCCACCAACATTTTTTAAATTGCAAAATGTGCCTTAGCAGTAATAATCTTGAACATCCTCAATCAGACTTTTGATCCCATTTTTGTATAATAACAAGGACACATGACAATCAAAATAGCTTTTCCCACCAAAGAAGAAGTCCTCATATTTCTTAGTGTAGAAACAACAGTGAAAAGTCAGAATTGGATTTATTCTTAATTCTTTAGGTAGATATACACAGTTTACATAAGCAATATAAAAAGCAATGTTCTTTTTACATTTAATATGTTCTACAGCATGGGTTCTGTTTCATGAGTATTAATGTCACCTACTGAAGCTCTGGAGTGGAGAAAGTTCTTAACTGAATAGTCACATTTTAGTGCTATATTTTCCGTACTAGGGGTGAGAAGGGAACCTTATGTATATTTTATTTTGTCTTCAGCCATCAATAAAATGTTTTCTGTGAAATAATGTTTTGAGCATCTTTTTAAGTAAACAAGTCCATTTGCTATCCTTAGAGAATTTGGTGTAGAGAGCAACGGTTTCCAAAGAACAGATGGTGATATCCATCTTCAGTTACTATGTAGAATAAAGGGAGTTTCAAGTAACCTTGAATTCATCCCATCCTCTCATTCACCTTTCAATATCAAGGGCAGAGACTGCATTTACAATACTGAAGGCTAAAGTTTTTAGATAGTAAACAAGTGGAACAAAGATAATGAGTGACGCTGGTGTCTGCTGTCCTGTGTTCAGAAAGACTATGGGGGCTGATCTTCTGGCCAGGAGGAAGGATGCTGGGTTGCTGTCTAAGAAGTGAGTGCGCTCTAAAAGAATCACTGCAATCCTGTGGGAGTGCAGTCCTTTGTAAAAGCTTTATTACTATTCCATTGTATAGCCCTTTTTTTCCACTCCTGATTCATCAGAAAAGCTCATTCCTTTTGACAGAGGATCTGTGTTACAAAGAACTATTAACATAAAATCAAATATTCATCTAATGAACATCTTAAATTTTCATATTATAGTCACTAATCAGTTGCTATACCTGTGCTGCCCTATAACTAGTTTAATCTTTCGTATGGCTTGTTTTTTGTTTTAACCTTTTGGTCCCAACCAAACGTTATACAATTCAAGATGTTCTGTTATTCTGAATGCATGGGATTATTTCTGCTTAAAAAATCTTGCAGCTTTAGAACATGAGCACTTGTTTCCTCCAGTGTTACCAGCTGTCTGCTAACAAAGACCTAAACATGTTCTCAGACACACACTTCTTACCTATCTGAAGAGCCCATGTTCTTTATTCACTTGTTTCAAAGTATATAGAATAGGGCAGAGTTTTAAATGAACTGTTGGTGTCCATGATGACTGCTTACACTGATGCCTAGCATTAGCTGGCAGGAGTTACAAGCATCTTTTGATGTCTGCTTCACAGTGGAGGAAAATGACTTCTTACTGCCCCTTTATTTTCCTCATCACTGGATTCTTCAACCTTATGATCTTTTTTCCTCTTACATGGTCTGTGCATCAAAGTAATGGCACTACTTCTGGCTCTAAAATAAGGATTGAAAGAGGGTTGCCTGTGATGAGCATGCAGAGTGTGGTTGCACATGTCTGGCAGAGAAAAGGAACCTAGACCTTACTCTTGGCTACTAAATATTTTGAATAATTTTTCCTTTTTTCAGAAAGGAAAAAAACAAATGGCACCATAAAATATATCATGTACAAACTACACCATGCACAAAATGCAAAATGAAAAAATGGGAATCCCTGCTCTTGTTTCATTCAATGTCCTTGACCAAACTGTATCTGACATTTATTGTTGGAAATTCTTTCCCATGTTTTGGACCTTGGCTATTTGAAACAGCCTCTTCTGGGTAGATATTAATCTGCTTCTTAGCATAGCTTCTGTTTCTTATTGCACACTAGAGGCCTGGTGCACGAAATAAGTGCGGGGGTGGGGGGTGGGGAGGGCGGTTCCTCAGCCCAGCCTGCACCTTCTCACAATGTGGGACCCCTTGGGGGATATCCAACTGCTGGTTTAAGCCCAATCCCAACCCCTGTGGGATTAGGCCTAAACCAGAAGTCAGACTTCCCTCTCACAATCTGGGACTGCTGACTCCTAACTGCTCGCCTGCCTGCCTGATCACCCCTAACTACCTCTGCCTGCCTGATTGCCCCGCCACCTCTGCCTTGGCAGGTTGGGCGGCTGGGGGTGCTGAGGGGACTGGGAGACTCTGGAGGCAGGCGCGGGGAGCTGAGGGGACTGGACACTGCCATCTTGGAGGGCATGACAGTCAATTAGCATATTTCCCTCATTATTGCCTGTGGGCACCACCATCTTTTGTGACTGTGTGAGGGTCAATTAGCATACTCCCCCTTTATTAGAATAGGGGCTTTTGGCTGACAGGCATGAATGCAGAGGTTTAAAAAAGATGAAACTGCAGCAGAGATGCCATTCCAGTGAGACTCCCTGGGCAGTGAGAACATTGGCATTTAGCATAATTGGGCATGTGGCATCTCTTATGCACTAGAGGGCATTTTCATTATTTATGCTTGCATGAACAAACATTGGTGATGAATGAATTCAACCAAAGGGAGAAGGTTACAAAAGTGTCATATTTACTAAATGGAAAAAAAACACAATTTTGTGTGTGTGTGTACATACGTATATTCCATTCAGTGAAATAGATGAGAATCAATAAAAATATGTCCCTGATAATTGATATTTAGAATCAAATTGTACTTAATGGGCCCGATTTTTATTTTATATTTTAAACAGGTTTTCAATTTTTTTTTTTTTTTGAGATAGCAGTCCTGGGAATATCCTGAATTCAGGAAAGAGTTTAGAGAGGTTATTGCCTTCTTAATAATTTAGAGCTTCTATTACTCTGCCAAGTCAGAAGATTAACATTTAATAGAAAAAAATTACATATCTATAATTCAGTCACAGCTATTAGATCAGATGGATTTCACATTAAGTAAAAAAGATGTTGAGCATTTAAGGACCATTAAACTACAGGACTCTTTTATTGGGTTTTAAGGCCTCCGAGCCTGGGCCCTGCTGCAAGGAGTATTTATTTTATATATATAGGATGCATTAAGGGTGGGGAAAGGGCATGCATTTTAAAAGAAAATAGGCCATGAAAAAGTGTCATTTTCCACATTGTGAACAGCTACCATATAGGTTCAGCCTTATTTTATAATAATTAGTTTTATGCATCATTAAGTTGCTTTCTTACAAGCTAGCAGAATATGGTGAAGGCCGCTTTAAAAGTGGTACCTGCAGGGAATCCAAGTAACCTGGAACCCTCTGTTGATATTTCATTTCGAGAAACCACATTTCTAATAGTTCCCAGATCACTCTACCTTGTAAAGAATTCGAGTTTGAAAATGCCTTCTCCAGTGGTCCTTAAAGACCATGGAGGAGGGCACCTAAGGAGGAGGCATCACTTCTAATAAGCGTCTGCTTTTCTCTAGTGATACCCAAATGATCAAGGACAGACTAGAATTCCACACTGAGGACAACCACTCACTGGTGGGGAGAACATCTGTGCCATTCTGTTTAATAAGTGCTATTACACACTTCATAGTTGTAGTTAAAACATGACAATAGCTTTGCTTATTATTTACCCACTAGAGGCCCAGTGCATGAAAATTCGTGCACTCAGGAGGTCCCTCAGCCCAGCCTGTGCCCTCTCGCAGTCCAGGACCCCTCGGGGGAGGTCCCCCTGTTGGCTTAGGCCTGCTCCATGCCTAAGCTGGCAGTCTGACATCCCTCTGGCAGCCTGGGAGCCCTAGAGGGATGTCCAACTAACAGCTTAAGCCACAGACATCATTAGTGCTGCTGAGGAGGCAGGAGAGGTTTCTGCCACAGCTGCCGCATTCGCAGCTATCATCCCGGCTTGTGGCTGAGCGGAGCTCCCCCTGTGGGAGCACACTGACTACCAGGGGACAGCTCCTGCATTGAGCATCTGCCCCTGGTGGTCAGTCGGGTCATAGTGACCAGTTGTTCCTTGTAGTTTCACTGTTAGGGTCAATTTGCATATTACCCTTTTATTATATAGGACTAGAGGTCCAGTGCACAAAAATTTGTGCACTCCAGGGGGGTCCCTCCGCCCGGCCTGTGCCCTCTCACAGTCTGGGACCCCTCGGGGATGACCACCTGCTGACTTAGAGGGCCTAAGCTGGCAGTCAGACATCCCTCTAGCATCCCAGGAGCCCTCGGGGGATGTCCACTTGCCAGCGGGGAGCAGGCCTAAGCTGCAGTCAGACATCCTTAGCGCTGCTGAGGAGGCGGGAGAGGCTCCCACTACCACCACTGTGCTGGCAGCCGTCAGCCTGGCTTGTGGCTAAGCAGAGCTCCCCCTGTGGGAGCACAGTGACCACCAAGAGGCAGCTCCTGCATTGAGCGTCTGGCCCGTGGTGATCAGTGTGTGTCACAGTGACCAATCATTCCCAGTCGTTCTGCTGTTAGGGTCAATTTGCATATTACCCTTTTATTATATAGGATTATATAGCATAGAGGCCTGTTGCAAGGGTGGGGACTCTGGGATTTACTTACCTTCTATAATTGAAACTTTGTAGCCTTGAGAGGAGCTCAGAGCCGGCCAGGGGGGGCTGGAGGGAAGCTTGGCTTCCTCCATCGCCAGGGGCAACCCAAGCCTCCTGCTTGCTCCAGCTCCGTGGCCACGGCTGGCTGAAAGCAGGTATCTGGGGTTTATTTATCTTCTATAATTGAAACTTTGTTGCTTTGAGTGGAGCTCAGAGCTGGCCACGGCTGGCGGGAAGCTCAGCTTCCTCCATCATTGGGACAACCAAGCCTCCTGCTTGCTCCAGCTCCGTGGCTGCCAGCCGCCATCTTGGTTGGGTTAATTTGCATATACTCGGTCTGATTGGCTGGTGGGCATGGCTTAAGGCATAGCGAAGGTATGGTCAATTTGCATGTTTGTCTTTTATTAGTGTAGATACCTCCTGTCCCATTCCCACTTCCAAAAACAGGATGAGTTTCATGTAGGAGTATTAAAGCAAATACACTCAGGGAGCACGTGGGAAGGAATGGAATTAATATAATTTGTAACTTTTTTATTTCATTAAATCCTAAAACTACTTCTAACTTCTCACCAACCAATTGATTTTCTTTCTTGCTATTATAGGCTTTTTTAAATTGCCTTGAACTAAAGTGGCACCTTATGGGCCACCTCAGAAATCCTCTTCAGGATTTAAAAATGAAGCCAATTCACATTCAGAGTATTCTTGCTAAAATCTGTTGAGTCAAAATAAAAATGACTGCTACTTAAATTTTCTTCTCATTGTTGTCGCTAAAAACATTGTCTCACAGGAATTTCAAGTTGCCATATATGGACAATGGACAATTATAAGCTTTGTGGAAATGAAGAGGGGGAACCTTCCAGGACTGCAAGCACAGCCCTCAAGTTTGAAGTGCATCTGCCTCAATCAAATAAAGGGGAACT